AGTGCCGACCTTGGTGTACTAAAACAACCATTCAGTCTCTTGGGTTGTTACAGTTTATCCTGATTTGGTCTTCGGGTGTTATATAAGTAATTTATGGTAGAGGAGCTGTTTCGGAGATTTTACCATGAGGTCTTTCAAGGCGCCCTCAGTCTTCTTCGTTTTTGTTATTTTAGCACAATTTGCATTTAGTAATGCAAATATGCCTAACGAAGTTGATCCAGACGATACTTTGAAACTTAAAATTAGTAAACTCCTTTCTCTCCCTCGAAAAAACGGACTGCTGTCGATACACGATGCTGATATTGACGATTTGGCAAAACAACGTCCTAGGAACTACTCCCTCATTGTCCTTATTGGTACCGAAGTTAAAGATTGTGAGGGTTGCCGGTACGCGTTCCCTTATCACTTGAATTGCGTTCAGCATTACTCGTGAATTTTTGGAAAACATCGCCTCGGGCTGGGAGGCAAAGTCGCCCTCACCCAGTGATTTATACTTTGCCTCCTATGATTTTTATTATGACCAGGCACTTATAAAGGAGGTAATATTTTTCAGTAGATTCTTAACAGATGGCTTTTAGTTTGGCATCGAAAAGGCACCACACATGATTCATTTTCCTCCTACGCGTTACCCTTCCAGAGCAGACCAAGTCTCTGACGGTAACGTGTTGATGTCTGAGGAACGTCTTGTTAACTGGATACGTTTGAGGACGGGACATGCTGTATGTGCATTGTTTTTAATCTATTTCTTTGCAGATCGTCCCTTATGTTCGGCCAGATTATACAAAGGTCAAAGTTGCTGGTGTGGTGGCTATCATTATTGGACTTCCACTTGTTTTTGGTTTCGTAACGTTCCGCACCATGTCGGCATTCGTCAGCTTGGTAAGAAGGGTCCTATGTCCCACTTTCAATTTGTCCCAAATCTTAACATTTTGTCTCGATTGTACTAAAGATTGCGCACTTACGCCCTGCGCACGTCCGCTAAAGTATTAATCAAATTACTCATGTCGTACACACACAAAGGCAACTTGCGCT